TTTCCGGAATTGAAACCGTCAAGCGTTTTTTGACACCAATTAACCCTGGCTGCTTTCTGCTCTTCAGTCAACAGGTGGGGTATCCAACGAGAAACTAATTTTCTTACTCCTAATTCTTCATGTAAAATTTTTTGAATTGAGGTCTTTGAGATCTTCAAGGACGCCTCAATCTCGCGATATGTCACATGTTTATCTTCAATGATGAATTTGCGCACAGCATCCACGTTTTCCTGGGTGAATGCCGTTTTTGGTGCACCCACCCTGGAATCGTCGCTAAGACTCACCCGTCCACGTTTGGATTCTCCATACCAACGGGAAATTGTCGACTGATGTGGCGCTTCGTTGCCGAAAACAGACAGTAAAAACAGACAGTAACTCAGCAAGGCATTCTTGTTGCGATAATTGTCTCTGAAGGTTGTAATAAATTATAGCGCGAAAATGTTCTCGGTTGAGTTCCATTTTTCTAATGACTTGGTGGCACTTAAAAATTCACTGGAGTGAGAACACTGCACGTATTGTTGTGAAACTTTGAATTTAAGTTTACTAAAGAGTGAGGTTAAGATTCAGTACTGACGTACGATCCGCGCGGCCTACTATGTTTCTATATGCAAAACTTAAAAGACATCCCTCGTATCTACCATATTCATCGTATGAGATAAGGGTGAAAATCAGCTTGCTTGCTTGGTAGGTGTTATCATCAGAGATTTACCTATTTAAGAACAAAAACTCGCAAACACAAGAAGAAAGAAGGGGAAGTGAATCACCATGCTTCTCTCCAGAGAGCCAACAGCTGTTTTTCCACCTCCCTTTGCTCTACGGGGTGTCAGTGATGAACTGCGTCTAATTTCGGCTGTTATCCTCCATTTTTCCCCCATTACGAGAAAACTCCTAATAAATCCGGACAGAAGGAGCAATTTGTGCTTGAAATATTGACCCATCTGAAGCAAAACCTCCCCTTGCTAAGAGTGACGAGACTTGGGGGGATTATTTTAATACTGTTATGGAAATTATTTTTGGGATTGCTAATTCGGCCGGTCAACGTCATACGAATGATTAATTTTGGAAATGCGGATTTGAAGCCAAATGGTTGCGGCAGGGATTTCACAGGCTATTGCAATTAGATCTAAACATCATGCCTGAAAGGATTATCTTACTATCGAGTGAAAAACGTATCTGAAAGACAGCTGAAAGTATGTTTCAAAAGAGCGTAACATATGCTTTTGTAAATCATAGTTCAGAATTTGGCAATACTTAGCGTATCCCTCCTGAAGATGTCTATATAAAATAGCCATTTGGCAGGCTAAAAAGAGATTGAAGATCCTAGCGCCTGAAAGATAGTAGCAGAATCAAACGCTCTAAGTCCTTTTCTAAATTCATTTCTGTGTTCTGCTATTGTCACATAGGTGGTATCCTTTTTTGGACGTCGATCTTAAAGTAGAATACATTAGTCAATGCTAGTACCTAGGACCCAATGAGTAATATAGCTTCCACCCATCTGACTAAAGACAGCCAACCATGGACAGCTGTTCCGTGCTATTTGGTAACTTATCAGCATTATCTAGAGCTTGGTGTCAGGTATAACAACGAACGAAAGCTGAACAACTATCCTCCATCAAGGATATAATGACTGTCGAAATAAGATAGCACATGGTGACATTTATTACCAGAATCGAACATTGCGAGAGTGAAACACCAAGGTATTTGTTTTGAGATGTTGTTCTCAGGCTTCCTGTGTCTATAAAGTTTTTTCCTCTAAAGGTAGTGATGCCACATGACAAGCTTTTCCAAATAAACATGCGACCACTTGGATCAAAGTGCTTCGCGCGACGAGCTTTTGTCGGATTTAGGGCCATATCGTCAGTCGTTCCTACATTTGGAGAACGCCGTTATGGCCTCCTTGATTTTCGTAGTCCTTATTCTCCTTCAGAAGGGCTAAGGTATCTCTAGATTTCTACTGTTCCCTGTCAGCGTCAGCGCTCTCCTTATTATGTTGTCTTTTTAATGGTAGATTATTCAGGCTGATAAAACAGATGATAAAAATAAAAAACATGAACAATTTGATGCAAATAGACATTTGTAACTACAAAATAGAGCGCCAGAGGACAGGAAAAACTATGAAAATGAAGGACGCCATAAAGGCGCCCTACAATTGTAGGAACGTCTGACAATACGGCCCTAGATGACTATGTAATATGTTATGTATGCTATTGGAATTTACAAATTGCCTAAATCTCAAAAAATGTCACATGACGATCTCGCATTATTAGTTTCTGCACAGCATCAATGTTTTCTGACAAGTGATTTTGGACGACCTTCACGAGTTTCGTCACAAGAGAATGGCGGCCATGACTAAATTTGCTGCACCAGCGTTTCACAGTGGCAAAGGATGGGGCTTTATCGTCAAAAGTCATAATACATCGAGGCACGCTTGACTCGAAAATCCACGTCGAAGCTCGCACAAAAATTTCCACGGGCCAATTCAATTTTTTCACTAAGACAACATAAATCGTGCTCAAATTATAAATCGTTCTGAAGAAGGTTGTTCAAGGAGGTCAAACTTTTAATTGAAAACGTCAGATGTTGCCTAAGCACACTGAGTGTTGCTAAGGCTCAAAATATAAATAGTGACCTCGCATATATTTTTAGATCCATCACGTTTGCCTGGCCAATCAAACCACATGTGTCCAAAACTCTTCTTTATTGTTCGCTCCCAATGCTGACACAATATAAGAAAGTGTCATTTGTACTGAAGAAGGTCACCATTAAAACCGAAACCTTTACAATGAAGAAGAATTGTAGACACATGTGATTTTATTGGCCACACAATCAAGGAAGTCTATTTACATGAAAATCACAGGATAAGTTTCAAATGGCACATATATTTTTCTGAAAACCATAATCCGTTGATCATATTTAAACCGTAGGTAGCCAAACGCAAATACAGGTTGCTATCGTTTTTCAAGTTAAGTGAGACTGTCCAATCAGAGATGAGTCTGGTAGATCAGTAAATTCTTGGCTTACTTCAGAGTTCAAAAAGAACGGCTGAACTAAACTTCATCAGAACGCAACCTGAAAAAAATTAGATTGTTCTTGTGGCTTCACTAAAGACTAAACGTTTTTGCAGTTTGCTAACATGGATCGCCGCAAGAGTCTAATTATTGCAAAAATCTGTGGAATGTGTGGTTATGACTACCTAGAGTATAAATAGGGCTATTAAATAGCTAAAATCCTTGGGCTATACCCACAAATATATTATTCAGGTGCGATGTCTACAATTTTGCCGAACTGTAATGTGGAACTTAATACCGCTGTGACATGTTGAGTGACGTTAGGGGGCGAATTAAATTTTCATCAGAGGATCCGAAATGACAGGCAGGAGAACGCAGGATGGTTTCGCTTGTTATTGGAACAGCATTTATTGAAAGGTTAAAGGTTAGCAAACTCAGAGAATTCAGCATTTATTTATTGGGTTTTTCATATATCAGAACGTGTAACCATTTTTAGCAATATAGAGAAGGAACCAGTGGGAGGACATCCAAGGTAATGCAATGATTTTTTTATACCACAGAGAAGAGATCAGAAACAACCGAAGTTATCCAATGAGATTTTCTATTCCAGTAGGAGGAGCTCCGCTGAGGTATTATGTATCTTAAAAAATAACATTATGTGGGTTTTTTTGACATTATGTATGTAGGTTTTCCAATAAGATTCCAATTTGGAGCTAGTTGTTCTTCACTTGATGTGCATTAGATGTACCTGTTACCTAAACGTCATGACGCCTGAGCTGGTTTGGATCTGATGTGATCGTCTCGTCGTTTGTTATTTGAGCAGGACGTTGGTTTTTGTCTGGCAGAATGATTTTTTTTCTTCAAAATCTTCCAGAGCCCAGCTGGGAGAGATTTTTAATTAAGTGAAAGATAGAGGAATACGAAAGAAAGGAAGAAAAGGAGAAGGGGGAGAAAAAAGTGGAATAGAATCAATTAGTAAGAACGAAATTTATTTAATCTGTATTCCGAATGGTGCTTGATATGGTTAGAGTATTGCCAAAACAGGATTATTACAAAAGAATCATCGGGCTTTAAAAATATATATTTCTGAAGGTATTACAGATATAACAGTAAGTGATATGTCAATGGAAAGGTAAAATGTTCAAGATTTTAAGCATGTTATTACAAATGTTCGATGTGGGCTCCTTGCGTCACACGACATATGTCCAAACGATAGTCCAGTTCGGCCCATACACGCTGCAATGTGTCTCGATCGATATTGTTAATAACAATAGTAATGCTTTCCCGGAGTTGACCCAATGTTGTTGGCAGAGGTGGTATGTAAACCATATCTTTAATGTAACCCGAAAGGTAAAAATCGCATGGTGTAAGGTCGGGAGACCTGGGAGGCCACGCGAACAATACCAAATCTTGTGCAGTACCTCGGCCAATCCAACGGTGAGGCAGTGCCTCGTTTAAATACCGACGCACATCATGAGCTCCATCTTGTTGGAATATGAAGCTGTTAGAATCTTCTGTTAGTTGCGGAAATAACCACAAATGCAACATATCTAGGTAGGATGAACCGTTCACAGTGTTTTCATGAAAGAAAAAAGGCCCGTACACTTTATTTTTGGATACTGCACAGAATACATTCAATTTTGGAGAATCCCTTTCATGTTGCACAATCATATGAGGATTTTACGTGCCCCATATCCGAATGTTATGACGGTTCACCCTTCCACTTGAATGAAATGTCGCTTCGTCGCTGAATACCATACAGTTAGCAAATTCGTCGTCTTCCATTGCCTCCTGCATGTTAGAAGGAAAATCAAGTCGCTTTACTTGGTCGTCAGGTCGTAAGCTTTGTAGCATCTGTAGACGGTACGGTTCGAATCGCAATCGTTTCCGCAAAATTTTCCATACGGTTGGCTGGGGAATACCAAGTTCACTTCCTGCTCTGCTAGTGGAGTTTCGCGGAGAGCGCGTGAAACTGTGTCTAACTGCGTCCACCATTTCGTCAGGAACTCATGGTCTTCCGGTACTTTTACGTTTAGTAATGGAACCTGTCTTCTTGAATTGTCGATACCATCGTAGAATGCTCTGATGACCTGGAGAATCAGTTCCATACCGCCGTCGGAATGCACGTTGCACTGTAACAACCGATAAACATCGCGCGTACTCTAACACACAAAACGCTTTCTGCTGCATAGTCGCCATTTTGTATACTGAGCTCGTGGCGCTACCTAGGGAGGTAAAGCGGCGTTCGCAAGCACGTGCTTTAAACTCGAACATTTTCCTTTTCTAGTGATATGTCATTTGACATTATATTTGCAATACTCTCTGAAATATAAAATTTTTAAAACCCGATGATTCTTTTGTAATAACCCTGTATTTATAATTTAGAGAGCCAGACGGGGTCTTTTATGTTTAGGTACTTGAGCCAGAGTATAGTTTATTTATTATTATTTATTTACGGCCCTGTTACTGGCTTGTGTTGCGTGCAGAAGAGGAGCTATATGTTCAAGTGATTTCCGGACAGATGCTAAATCATTAACTGGGGCAGACTAAGTGTCCGAATTTGAGTTACTGGAAGAAGCAACAGCAGCATAAGTTGTGTTCATATTTAGAGAAGTGGCTCTCTGCTGTCGCTCTCGTAAAAGTTCAATATTTTTTTTGGGGACAAATTTACAGCCTAAGCTATTTTGGCCACAACTTGCACCGGTCCTAGAATCGTGATCTGTAAGTGGACACAGATGAGTGAGGTGCTCTTGGGCGCACTCCACGCACCTAGGAGGTGCCGCACAATATGTCTGGGAGTGATCATATCTCTGACAGCGATGGCACTGAGCAATTTGTCCAGAGTGTCGTTGTACTTCCATAGAGAGAGCCAAGCCCATGAGTTCACGCTCATTGAAAATGTCATGAGACTTTGCTACCTTCGGCAGTACCACAACTATAAGAGGCATGGGTCTCCCGCCATTCTTTTTTAAGCGAGTTATATGAAGAGGGTTATATCCCCTTGATATCAGCTCTTCTTTCACTTCACATTCCTCTGCAGTTGTTAGTATTCCCCTAAGGACCTCGTGAATTTTTCTTTCTCCAGCAAGTGGAAAAGTATGGTGTGTTATTTCTTTTTCTTTTAGAGAGCGTACAAGTTTTCTATAATGATCCTCTGCTTTAGGGGTAATTCTAATTCCGGCATCGATAGCCACAGCGTTTTCAATTTTAATACAGAGAGGAACACATGATTGAGATAGGAACTTCCACTTTCCTGGTTTGCGCAGTACTATCGGCGTGACCCGCTTTAATGGAGGTAGTCTCGAAGGTGTAGTGCTCGAACTTGGAGGGCTTGGTTCTGAATTTGTATTTTGACTGAATTCAGTAGCCGAGGTTAGAGTTCGAGTGGTAAAAAAATTGTTTGAGGCAAAGCAGATGAAGATGAAGTGAGAATTAACTATTTGTACACTAGAAGCTATCTATGCAGCAGGTTAACATTTTTTGACATTATCCTATATAGGACGTAATAATCCTGCTGATGTGATCTAAGAAAATACCAGACGATTCAAAGGAATATGAGCAAACCCAGAGAGATCTGAGACAATTCAATGAGATCTATGCAATCCTAAGGAAACCCAATGACATTTGGGATAATCCAAGGAAATCTGTATATATACTAATTCTACTGGTTTTTCAGTAAATTGGCAAATATGGTTTTATTGAATGGAGATACAAAGAAATATGAGCAAATTCAAGTAAATCTGAAGAGAATCTAGGATTCTCGGCTAGTGCTAAGGATTGCCCCTTAGCGAAAACCTGGCAATTATATTATATATTCTAGAAGCATAAATTCATTTGAGGTCTCCTCCATGTTATTGCAATATTTTGAGCCTGTAATATCGATTCGTTGAGCTTCTATTTCTTATCAAACTCAAATGTTCCTTGTGTGATGAGGACTGGTTTGTTTCATCATTTGATCGTGAATCACAGCGTTTTGAAAATATGAAGATATGGCGGCTGGGTACCATCTTGCATTTTGTGAAATAAAATTGGTCATGCGATACGCCATTACTTCTAGACTCTGCAATATTTCACCTTCAACTTCAAAAATTGCAGCTAGTCATAGCTGAGGTTTTTTGAACATTATAACTCAAGAATCATCAAAACGCTGTGGCATATTGTCTCAATCTTCTTCTTTTGGGAGGATCTACTTGAATATGAATTGATATTCGAGACATTCTGTTTAAAAAATTGACATATACAGAATTGGTTTAAGTAGAATATTCCATGTTACGTATTCGTATAAATCCTTTCAAAAGAAGAATATTGATATGACACATTGATCTGCTTTCTCTTATAAGTAAGGTGATGGGAGAGGTGCATAGATCGCGAGCCTCTGGGCTACGTCGAACGTTACTGCTTGAGTAGCGACGCGCAGTATGGCTTCCGGCACCAGCGATCCGCAGGAGACCTCCTAGCTTACGTAATTGTGGGGTAAATTCATCCAGTCTTATGGTGAGGTTCTTGTCGTTGCTCTTGGTATCACGAAGGCTTTCGATCAGCTGTGGCACGCTGCCCTCTTATGCAAGCTTCCATCCTGTGGCCTCCCAGAGAAACTTTGCAGATCGATGGTTAACTTTCTTTCTGGCAGCAAGATAACCGTCGCAACTGACGGGTTCCCCTCTTCATCCCACAACCTCAACGCGGGTGTTTCACAGGGATCGGTCTTGACTCCAGCACTGTTCGTTTTGCTGACCGAAAACTTCCTTTCCTGTTCGATAAACTCAATCCACAGCTTTGCTGATGACAGCACTCTTCATGCAGGAATTCAAATCGACAAGCCGATCTCTGCAGGCGAGCCTAAAAAAAGAAGACCAGCGGCGACTTTCTCCCTGACTAGACACGTGGAGGTTATTACTGGCTGGGGACGCAATAATCTTGTATAGTTTAATGCTTCGAGAACGCAGTACTGCACCTCGATGGTCGGGCGAGTTCTGCCAAAGAGCGGTTTATTTCTGCTGGTTGGAGTCCAGATCACCAAGGACTTGATCTGGCTCGAACAAATCTCGTGAATAGCGACATCTGCTGGGAGAAAGCTGGGCTATTTGTTTAGGGCTAAGACGTACTTTTCTCCGCATGACCTCCTCACTCTCACTCTATACAAGGCCCAGATAAGACCTAGACTCGAGTATTGTCTCTGTCCAGAGAAGGGCTGTAAGACTCATCGATGACTCTTCTCTAGTGGACGTCTCTCTTCCACAGTTATGTCAACGGGCTCTGCTTCTCAGAGCTCTGCTCCTTGATGCCGCGTGCGGGTGTGCTTTTTGGAAGATAGGGTCTCAATTTTCTTGTCTTTCGGAGCACTCTTAAGCAGCTTCAAACTGAGACATCGCTCGATCCTCCATTTCGCCTAAGATATGTTTCAATATGGTGCCCAGCCACCGTCTCGAAATTATTAACTACTACCTTCATCTTAAAATATGGTATATATGTGTCAATTTTATCACTTCCGATTTCAGCTAGCTGACTTGATCTATTCAAAAAATTAATAGGAGGACATTTTTGAAAAGCACTTTATAAAAATAATAGCCTTTTAAGTGGTGCAAGAAAATTGTAGCTCCTCACAAAATAATGGGTCACGTACTAGGTCGGTAATGGGCTTCACGATTTATTAACTTTTATTGCTATAACAGGACAAAACATCTCTCAGAAGTGGGATGACTTAAGATTAGAAACATCAGCAATAGTTAAACTTTTGCTTTTGTCATTAGTTTCAACTCGCATAATATCGAGATATAGGTGTAGGATATCGACAAGGAAATTGCCTAGTTCAACCACCATTGGACAGTTCAAGAGTGGTCTCCTTACTTTTTTGGCTCGATATACAGTGATAAGATGTTAGCACGAAAAAATGTCTGATTTAGCACGTGTAAAGGTCCAAGGATGTTTCATTCCGTTCAAACTTCTCGAAAACAAAATAAGATCTTGATACGAACAAAGAGTCCTGAAAGTTAGGTCTTTGTTTATCAGAAACAACTATGAGTGTAATAATAAAGATAATATGAGGGGAAACAACAGCGAAAAAGTAAAAAAAGTCAGTAAAAAAGTACTCACTGTTCATGGAAAAGAAATATCAAGTACCACCGTGTTTAGAATCGACTGAAAATAAATCACAAGGATCTTCAAGAACGATCTGAATGCACTCGTGAAGCAGTAGCATTTCGAATTCGCTCACTGTAAATTAAAATAATATGGACAGCTCCGATATTGCTGTATAAGTGTTTTTTAGAACCGATCTGTAAAGGTGTTTTGCTTACCTACGCGACCAGGGTATTAGATTTTGTTTAGATTTGAATGATTTTGCGGAGCCTAATATCTCGGCAATCTTAAGACTTTGGTGTATTATATGTTACTAGAAAAAAACAGCTAATTTTCCATGATCGCCAGGATACCCTGTATATTATTGAAAATCCCATTAACATTAAATCTCTTTTATATCATGTTTGGGGATAGCATAAGTACGCCACGCGTTCTTCCAAGAATTAGTATCATCGTCCTGAAGCCGGGTTCATTCTACTTAAGGCAGTTACCCCGAAGCACCCGAAGCTTTGAAATGACCTCGGGAATGCACTTTTTATATTCCAACGTACTAAATCTGACCCACATACAAATAATGTTCCCTTAACCCTCCTCGATATTCAAATTTAACATTCTGTACATACACATGTCACGAAACTCGCAGAAATCTGAATGCACTCCTCGATTTTCCACAGTACTTTCTGCGCCGCTCTAATACCCTTGACCTATTTTAACGTTTTTCTCTGTTCGATATGCGGATAATAATGCTTCAGCAATGTTCTACGTGTCTTTCCGATTTTTAAAGGATCATCGGAAGCCGCCGACCACATCGAGTATATTTTCGATGAAAATTTACGTGCTGGCTATAAACTGACTCCCTCTCTAAATTTTTTATATTACCTTCTAGAAGAAAAAGTTATATATAAGACTTATAGAGTCATAGACTCAAATATGAGGCTTTGCATGTAATGTTGAATTTGTATACCGGCGGTCTCAGAAAAGCGCTTGTATTTTGATGAATAGAACACCCTGTATATCTTAAGTGAAAATGATAGTCGATGTCTGATTCAAAATATGTATGGTTTGCTGAACTTATGCTTATAACTTTACTCAACAAATTGAAGTTGTGTGTCATTTAATGATAATTATGCATTCACTCCCTATACCAGATCGCATAGGCAGCTAGATGCAAACCAACTGCAAGCTGGTTCGATC